GGGAGACCCCACCTTGAGGGATGCATCCTCCTTCTCAGGGCACCCTGTGTCCTCGTCGGAGGTGCCCAGCGCAGGGGCTTTGCTCTGGAAGAAGGACTTGGCCTTGGGACGCTTCTTCTCTGCCACGTAGAGCAGGTGGGTCTCCGAATGTGACCAGGCCAGGCAGCCAAACTGGTCTGCAGGGGTAGGTCAAGCACTGGCCACCTTGTGCCCCCAGGACCTCACATCCCCTGGCATCCTCCGGCCCCTCACCATCATCGTAGATGCTGCCATGCTTGTCCAGCACCGTCAGGTCGATGCTCTTCACCTTGCGGTTCTGATCCCAGACCTGGGCGCAGAGATGCTGGGGTGGCCCCAAGCCCCACTGTAGATCTGGTCTCCCTCAGTCCCCTCCTCACCTCCAGGAACTGCTTCTCCTTCTCCTTCTTCTCCTTGCCAGGGACCTTGCGCAGGACGGCCTTCAGCGCCCCGCTAGGGGACTCCTGGCTCAGCAGCCTGCGGGTGAGTGGGCACCCATCAGCTGCCTGCCATTGGCACCCCGAGGGGATACCAGTGCTGGGGACTGGACAGGACAGGACTCACTCATCCTTGATCTCAGAGCAGGTGCCGGCAGGCCCCAAGTAGACAACGGAAGCCCTGTCATGGAAGACCAAGTACTGGCGGCAGAACTTGATGTTCTCGGCCCGCGCCAGGTCCCGCTGCGACCACTCTGCGAGGAGAGGGGTGAGGACACCCGCTGCATCCCTGCCAGGCAGGCAGAGACCTCCAGACACCCCTGGGCTCCCCAGGGGACCACCCCATCCCCGTACCTGTGTAGAGGCTGCAGTACTTGCCCCGGTACTGGGTGGTGATGTCGGGGCCGAGGCAGGCGGTGCTGAGCCCCGGGTGCTGGCTCAGCTCCCGGTACAGCTCCACCATCTCCTCCATGCTCGACAGCACCTGCGGGACCCACTGGGGTGAGTGAGGGGCATGGGGCTGTGCCAGGGTGTGTGTGTGGGCAATAACCAGAGAGTGGTGGGGCACAGGGGGCAGTTGCTGGGGCACCAGGGTACATGGCGGGGGCGGGGG